AAAGTTAACTAGGTGGAACGATGATCAGAGAAAGTCAGAATTCCTACAAAAATATGCGGTATCCAGACGGTATAGAATATAGAAAACAACCGTGCTACTGTTATGGATGGCTATCAATTAATTTACTGTCTATTCTCATTCTTTACACTATAAGCTGCATGCCGCGTGTTAGGCTGTGATTAATTATCTGCTCAAAAAGTATACACTTATACTATGTATACTGTACAGCACCTACACTACCAAGTACCACGTGACTATTAATCATCTCATCAAGAAACATGTCTAGAAAAACTAATAAAGATTTAGAAATCAATGAAAGATACCGTTGTAATCCATAAATCTAGAATTCTCTAATAATAAGCAAACAATATAGTGAACTTAATGAAAAGATTTCAAATGTTTTCTTCTACAATGCTGTTTTCCTCAACCAATGACTAGNAAAAAACATTCTCTTCGTCTCTTTACTCGAACAAACTTACGATTGTCTGTCGTTTAGAGCACTTCTGATTTTCCTCAACAAATGACTAGTTAAACTTGAACATAGACTACAGAATTAAACACAAGATGGCACATGACGATCTAATCATTCATAACATATGTATTAAACTGAACAAGCAATATTCATTGGTAATAGCTGGTGTTCCCATATCGATTTAGTGTTTCCCTAATAGCAAAAGATGGAGTAAAAAATATGAGAAAGATTGTTGTTTATGAAAATTGTTTATGAGAAATTTTTTTGCCCACCACACTGGTTGCCACACACAGTTAATTGAGTGTTTATGGGGTCAAGTAAAAACCAAAATATTAAGAACAATGCACGGCTCAACATTATTAGATAGCCATTTAAACGAATTATGGTACTACTTGATCCATAAGGACATGTTTCCCGCAATTCTAACGGATATTTGACAATTTCATATGTAATGTTTTTATTGCTATTATGTTTTGTTTTCTTTTTCATTTTCTGTTTTCGTAATGTTCTTAATTTCATGTAATGTTCGTAATAGTTCATGAAAACATTGAACTATATTGTTTACTCGATCTTTTGCTATTAGGGGAACACCACAGCTGTATGGGGAACACCAGCTGTATTATCATCCGGTATTGGTATTTGGGGGAACATCTTCTAAACGAATACCTTATTATTCATCTTACGGAAGAGAATGATACAATTTTGCAAAATAATCTCATTTTATGCGACGCATGATTTAACAACTAAAATAGATGATAATAACAAACCACACATTATCTAAACTACTTGAACATTCGAGACATTTGTTTTCCAAGGCCTATGGAATTTTTTATCCCTTGCGCCGTTGTCGATGGCAAATCAGAAGTGCTCTAAACGACAGACAATCGTAAGTTTGTTCGAGTAAAGAGACGAAGAGAATGTTTTTTTTCTTCTATATATAGCGGAAAGTAATGGCGACTGGGAGCTACATAAATTTTTATTAAAATTTCAATGAAACATAATAGTCTGAAAACAAAACAACAAGCCATGGGTGATGTTAACTATATATTGAATTTCTATATTTTCAAACGCTAAACTAAGTAAAGCTCATCTTTTGAAATAATAACTCGTTTCAAAACTTTCTACAAATGACTAGCCCAGCAGGTAATCAGGTAATTGACCAATCATAGGATGATAAAGAACTTATTATATTTTTTATTAAATAATTCTGAAAGGTCATTCGTCGATCGCAGCTGTTTCTTAGTGCCAGTAACATATTCTGTGTAAAAAAGCGACATCTGCCCGATTAAAACAAAAGATTCCTATATATCAATTATAATCATTTTGTGTCATCTCCGTAAAGATATATCTTTTTCTCTGTAATGTGTGTCTGCTGGTGGTCCACGAGTCGGATAAATGTACAATCACCAAGCACAGTCTAATACATATTAAGACATTTTGTTTTGTCACAGACTCCAGCATATCGTGTATAGGCCATAGCATGGTAAGATAAATTTTTCCTAAGACTGACTATTTCCATCGTAAAGAGCACACAAAATTAGGTATGTCGCACTCTCTTCCGTCTTGAAACCTTAAACTCGACCAAAAACTTTTTTTCCCAAACTTTTTTTCCGAAAAGCCCCATAGTTGGTTCTTCAATTTTTTTAAAAAAGCGATATTTCCAATATTTTAGATTTGCCAATTTTACACTAATTCACTATTCTCTACGATAATTCCACATCTCATGAACGTTATTGTCAAACCTTGAAGTGACTCCCCATGTTGTGTAAACCGCTCGAAAACCGTCCGTTAACCGCGGTTATTTCAACTGGAACCATAGAAACACAGCATAAAAACCGACGGTTAAGCGCCCAGTTAACCAGAAATAATCGCGGCTAACCGACCATTTTCGAGCGGTTTACACAACATGGGTCGTATTGTCAAACTACAAAATCTCACTGTTTTAAGTGAAAAAAACAAAATTGTTAAAGTTCAACAAAATGCAGTTTTATAAAACCTGTAAATATCTATTCACTGTTTTTTTGTCAGCGTCCCTCGTGGTTTAATTTTTGTTTTTTCATGGACAAAACAAGTGTCTTCTAACGTGGAAAATTGAAAATTGATGTTTTCAATTTGGAGTTTTTGATCGCTTCTCTTAAGCTAGAAATCTGACCGAAAATTGTCAGAAATTAAGTAAAAACTACTTTAATGAACTCAATTTTTTGAGCTGATCATTAACATCAACTTTATTTGGCTTAAATATGGACACTTTGTTGTGAAAAATTGACCTGATATTTCTAAGCTTTATGATTAAAAGCACATCGAGTTTTGACGATAACGTTCATGAGATACAGAATTATCAGGGCTACCAATATTAAAAGTTTCCAACTATACACAACAACACAGTTGTGCCCTCTATCTCTTTCAAGACTAACGTAATTCGAAAAGTAATCAATTGTTGCTTTTTACGGAAAACATACATCATGAAAAAATGTAATTTTCACCATCTTGTCCATGTTTTGTATGTATGGTGCTTTATACCGTCAATTCAACAACCACTTTTGCCCGCCTGACTACATTTGTTAGTCTTTCGTTCATTAGTTCAGCATGTATAATTTTGTTGACTCTACATAGACAGTTAGTGAATTCATGTCGAAAATAGCTTTATTAGATTCATAATATTACAATACTACAAACCGCAAGCAGGGCCGCAAATAGGAGCAGAACATTAGCGGAGTGTAAAATAAAATTTCTTTTTGATGCGGTCTGACGTATATATTCTTAACTGTGTTGAGAGAGAAGTTACAGAAGTGGCAGTCCTGAGGGGTGAGTGCGTAATTTTCAAAGTCTTATGGTTTTCTTGTAAGTAAAAAAGGGGTTATAAAACAAAATTTTATCCAGTATGTTTGAAATTTCTTTTTTCATAAAGAATACTGGATGAATTACATTGAAGCGTTTTCCTATTTGTAAAACTGATTTTTTTTCATACTCGAAATTCATGATTAGTTGGGCAGCGAGGCACACGCCGTTACGTTCTCCTGTGAGACTGAGGCGACGAACGTAAGTAGCTTGTCAAGATACATGTGACTGACGTCTCTAGAGTTCGAGAATTATAGCTTGGAATACTGTCAGGCAATTTGCTACTTTGCTTGGTGTTGTTCTCAAAAATGTAAAATTTTGAAAATTTCAAAAATATAAACAGTATTACGTCTAATGTTGACTTAAAGTATTAAAACACTCCATTATCATTTAATATACTTAAGTTTTACCTATTTCTTAATTCTCTACATCTACCATATAAATTTCATTCATATTTCTTTAGTTTATCAGGTGAAAAAATGAGTCAATTATGTGTTTTTGTTGATTTTTATTAATCAATGGCTATGTATTTCACGGCTAAAAGACTTAAAATCAAAATCGTAATCGAACCATGATTTAAGATTTTTTATTTTGGGGTGTAATGTTCCCATTTAAGTAGATTTTTATTGGTCTATTCTTGTATTATACTACATAATGCTTCAGCATAGATCGAAATCGGCTCTGCAGAGTGTTAGCTTTAGGATTGTCTGTCTTCACATGATCTTCAATAAAGCTGTCATCGTATAGGATGCCAGTATACAGAAGAGAAATGCCTAGCTAATTACAGCTTTTATGATGGCAGAGAGAAGCAATTGAACTATTTGTTTTTTTTTTCTTTAAGCTATCTGATTGACAGATTCTTTTGCCAATGGAAGCGTAGAATGTCCTCAATATCGATGTTTTTTGGTCATAAGTTTTTCCGTAACATTCGAATATAGACAATGAACAACTGACAGACGACTGTTGGTCGATATTTTACGAAATTTCACACTTTTGGAATGGAAAAAACGAATTCGTTTTTTATCGACTAACCGTAATATTTCCGTAAAATATCGACCAACAGTCATCTGTCAGTTGTCCATGGTCCGTGTTCGGATGTCAGGAAAAAACTGTGCATTCTAATATAAAATTTTTGGCAGATTTTCGACGTTCATTTCAGCCTCTTCTTATATTTTATTACTGAACTTTCTTTTTCAGTCTCAAGACTGGACACTGCCATTACTTTATATTATGTTTAAGTGATCTCCTTGAATAGAACAAAAAATGACGAGCAATGATTTATACTTCAGTTTAAATTGGCTCGTAATTTATCTTTATTGTACAAGTGTGCGAAGGTACAGAAGGGAAATAATTCAGGGATGATTCGGTATGATCCTTTTTTCAAACGAAGCAACGAAAATAGTTTTAAAGTTTATTTTATCTCTAACGTTCTACGAATGTTTCTATTTTTTATTTTAGCTAACACAGAAAGCGTGGATTATCTTCGAGACACACCTATATCCAGGTTACTAGGTATGCTTAATTTGAAGTTTACTTTGTTCTCTGCTCATATGCAGCTAACCTTAACTTCACATTAAGCTGATTTGCGTCTATTTTCGAGGAAAAAGCTGCTTAATCTCGTGGTAAGCTGTTTTTCTTTTTTCTTTGAATTTTGAGAAGCTGACTGACGGTCCTTGTCGCCTTTTTCTGTTTTCTAGACGGACAAGCACGATTAGAGGACATCCATGGGCATAGAAGGAATATACTGAATGCATATACACACATCTGCCTTTTTGCCTATCCGACTGGCCAATATTGCAAGCAATTTTTAAGTGAAAAGCGCTGATGCACGCCTGTCACAAATGAACTAAAATGCCAATATGCTCAGAATGCTTTCCTGACTTTTTTTAATTTTGTGTCTGAATTGAATCAATGCAAAAGGGGCTCGGTGTTGTTCGTAGTTTTACTGTTTGGTGATCCAATGACGTAGAACCTGTTTATTTCCATATTTTTCATAAACTATGTAGTATGCATCCCGTTACTATTTCTTTTACCCTTTTATCCAAATTAGATTTGACTCGATAAGAGAGTTAAGTGCTAGCAAATAATAATGAAATAAAATCATGAGTTGTTATATGGGCATAGATTGTTAGTTTATGTATTTTCTCAGCTATGTTGTATCTGATAATGAAATAAACTAAAAGCAATAATTCTGCTTTTCTGTACAATATTTACCGTCATAATGAGCAAAGTTTCAAACATAGCTTAAGCAAAATTTTCTCAAAATTTCACATTTCTTCTTTCCGGCTTTTTATTAGTGATTTCAAATAGAAACTTATCAAACTATCTCAGGATTTTGCCACATACACACTAGTATTGAGTTACTTACTTGCTCTTGATTATTAATTCGATTTTCTGTAGGAATCCTTCTTAGTTTATAGTTTGGAAGGCTAGAAGTATGTAGGTTTGCACGCTTTTATTCATCACTGTTGAAGTATTTCACTGACGTCAGAATGTGAGAAGAAGTCAAATTTTAGTTGATGTAATGTGTCCATTTCTCTTACATTTAGCAACTATTAACTTTATTTAATCTATTTTTAAGAATACAGAAAAAGTTTGTAAAATCAATTATTGATGATGGAAAACAGAAAACGTGGTAACGAAGAAGGCGATCAGCAAGATTTTAGAAAACGAAATCGTCTGGCAAAACATGATTGTCGTTATTTAGTAGCCAGTAGTGACGCTGGTTCAATAATCGGACGTGGTAAGTAATATAAATTTTTTTCGTTTTAGTATTTGATTTATTACGCTGTGGTTTTTCATTTGATCAGGTGGCCATACTATACAAAGTCTTCGTGGTAAACACAAAACGATCATACAAGTGCCCGATTGTGATGGTCCGGAGCGTATTTTAACAATTAGTGGCGAAACAGATGCTGTATTAGACGCATTAAAAGACGTCTTACCGATAATGGCTGAAAATCAAAGAGCTCGAAAAGATCAGTGTGAATTACGAGCACTTATTCATCAAAGTCAAGCGGGTACACACTAGACATAAATGACAGTGCTGAATTTAACTCGATTTCATTTCTTTTTATTTAGGCGCAGTCATTGGAAAGGGTGGAGACAGAGTTAAAGAATTAAGGTGGGTTATTGGTTTTGAATAATTTGTTATCTGTCTCAGACGTTGTCAATGAACTATTTGAACTGAGCTCTTTTTTTTGCGAGTATTTTTATGATTTCTTCGATATATAAAAGGAATTCGTTGATTTTTAGACAAAAATACAATCTTGATACTAAAGTTTTTCCTCAAGTTTGTCCGGGTGATTCAACCGAACGTGTCATTTCATTACGCGGCTCCCAAGTCGATATTCTACGTTGTTTGAAAGGTTTTATTCCAAGTTGAATAAAAACGCATATTCGTTATTACCTGATGTGTTCTTCAATTTATCTTTAGAAGTGTATAGTATTTTGGATCAAACCCCTATCCGAGGGCCACTCCGTCTGTATGATCCGTTTACATATGATGGTTATAATGTTGAAGAGTATGGTATGTATTTAACATGCAACAATTTTAGTATTCTTTTCATAACTGAAAAAGAACAACCTATGTGCGCATATACAAAAAATACGCGAAAAAAAATTACATTAAATGGAACTATCTATTGCACTTTTGTTGAATAAAATGTGGAAAATTATCAAAGTTCATAAAGTTAACGATCTTTACGTACGATATCTCTCTTTTTGTAGGTGGTTTCTTTGACCAAGGAGAAATGGGTCCCTGGCGTAAGTCCTCATTTTTTCTTTTCTATGACTTTACTCATTTCATTAGGTTTTAGGTGCAGCTGGAAGTCGCGCCAGACAAGAATATGAAGGCGATAGTCGAGGAGGAAATTATAATCAACAAAGTCACTATAGTGGAAATAATGTAAACGAACAAGGTAATTACGGTGGTGGCTATAGCAATATGGCTAGCGGTAGTCAAAATCAAGGTTCTGATAGAGAACCAATGACAACACAAGTAACGCTTTCTAATGATTTATGTGGCGCAATTATTGGTCCGAGAGGCACAAGAATTTCACAAATACGACAACAGTCAGGAGCTGGTAAGTATTGCATAATATATTTCAAAATTTTCATTCTTTTAATTAAAACATTCCTTTCATCCAATTTAAGGAATTCGCATTGATGATCCACTAGAAACAAATGATCGTATCATCACAATAAACGGTACAAAACAACAGATAACACATGCCCAATATTTGTTACAAATGGCCGTTAAACAGTCAGGTAAATGAAAGAGTGTGATTGTGATATGTTCATATAGACAATTTCAGTTGATTCGTTTTGTTTTAGGTCTTTATAATGGTTAGAAGAGATTAAAACAGGATGTTGAATGGTCATTAATTTAAGATGAACATTTTGTTTTACTTTTTGAACCTCCAGATATCTATCCCTATGGATAGAATGTTAATTTGTTTCTCATTTTTTTTTCACCTTGTTCTAATCAGCATAACTCATATCTTTGATCATTTTTATTCGGATTTAGATATTTTTGTTTTGTTTTACTGTCATGATTGTTTTTTTGTTCCGTCGCACTCACATAAGAAATTAAAGAAACATTGTATATCTTTATGTAATATGTTTTTGCTTCTCTACTCGTTTTGTGATGTTATCTCCGAAACTTTTTTTCCTTTTTTGTATATTTGTTTCGTTTATATGGAAGGGATTATCACTTTTCTTTATTAAACGAAATGAGTTGTACTTACCTTTTTTTGTTACACTCACACAAGAATGTTTGTTAAAGGTAAAGCAACCTGACTTCGTTTCACAGTCAAAAACCTTAGTTGTTGTATCAGATGCAATGAGTGATTTAATGAAAAATAGCATGCAGGAATAGTTAGCTATTACTAGTATTCAAAATTAGACTGTTTATGTATCAAACTTAATTGTTAATTTTGCCACTCCAGTGACGCTATCACAGCCTTGATACCATACGATAAATTCATCATGTGCAATTTGTTTCCAACCCTCAACAAACACGACTAATGGTGTGAGGCCTAGATCACTCCATTTATCTGAATTATTATCACACTTTTCCCAATCTAAAACTGGTGAAAGAATTGGTTCATCACTCCTTGCCAAAATATTCATTGGATCATTTTTGTCCATGATTGCCCATCCCACATTGTATTCTCGATGCCAATTTGGTTTTGAATTTGGCGTTGATACTTGACGTCCCGAATTGTATAAAAATAAGTAATTACCATCACTTATTTTTCGTGGTTCTGGACCAGGCTCGACGAGCTCACTGTCAAAATAATTTGGACGAATTTGAAGAAATGTTTTGCCCGTGTATTCATAATGGATTAAATCTTGTGTCACAGCAACTTCAATGTTTGATTCATTAAAAAATAGAAAACGATGCGTATCATTATGAATGAGTAATGTTCCACTTTTACTCCAATGTAATTCAGGAAATAACGGTGGATGCAACTGCCAATTTTCTTTTTTCATTGGATTTGTTTGTGCATCACATGTAGCCAAAGCAACCTGAGCATGCCAAAAATGATTTTCTGTCCAATCGACGGCGGTGTAAAACAAATAGTAAATGTTGTTAAATAAATATACTCTTGGGTCTTCTGCTCCTGCAATTTGATATGGTTTATCTTCGGAATCGATAATAATATTGAGTTTGTCGACATAGGTATAATCAGTATTAGAACCATTAATATTTGTGACGACTACCAGCTGAGATGGGCCAACATCGTAAATAGATGTGGCGTCTGGTAAAAGATT